TAGACGTGCTGACTGAAGTCCAGGGGACACAGGGATAGTTGGATAAGTGATCACTGGGGTGCCCCTTGCAAAGACACAGAAACCTATCACCCAGCATTTTAAAGTAAGCATAATAAAAGTTGTAAAGGCTTATATTTGCCATAAACTTGACGACATCTTTGCTCTTAGAACTAGTGACCAAATCATCTATTTCTCACATCTCCAAAAAAGGCAAAGAAATTACACTCGAAATCAGCACCTCTGTGCTTCCCTTGCGTGCTCATTTCAGATTCAAGTCCGGGTGGAACTCCACTCATTTAACTGATTTTTTTTCCCCTTGATTTCATATTTTTAAAACTATTTATTGGCTGTTTTTTCTGATTATAAAAGTAGTATACATTACTACTTAGATTTTGGAGCACGAAGGAAAGTCTGGAGAAGAGAGTCATAACCATGCATCCTGTCTGCTCAGCCCAGCTCCTCCAGAGGCGTGGCCCATTCCCATTCTGCCTTCTGTCTATTACTATGACAATGCCTTCTCTTTTTCTTTTTTTTTTACACTTTTTCTAACACTTGCTTTCCCTGATATCCCCTTTACTGATTTCATTTTCTAATTTCTGTTCTGAATATCCTGTTATCTCATATTGTCTTCTGTATTGGAAAGGGTGTATAAGGATGTGGTCTACATAAAAGGAACTAAAAGTTACATTTTGTGATATCCAGAAAGTAGAAACACATTTTTAAACATACGTGCAAGTACATGGGCTCAGCTGTATTGGTTGTGTATCATGTCACTATCCCTTGCTAATGACTATGGACACCGTTCCACTCCGCACCAGTCTGTTTGCGTATTGTCAGTACCAGGAAGCAGCAGAGATTGTTCGTTGACATCGTGTTATTTATCCAGGTGTTCTGATCACCAACATAGAGTCTGCACTTTGAAACAAGGAAGGTTGAATGTGGATCAGCTCTAAGCAGAGAAAGGAGCCCTTCTCCCTTCCCCCCACATCAGCTAGTCACAGTCACATCTGTTTAGAACCCTGGATGTAATCAACATTACACACACACACATGCACACCCACAAAGAAGTCTCTGGCTTTAGTTTTGAAGTTTTACCCGATACCGGATTCACTGCGCACAAAGCACTATGATGAACACTGAAGGGTTAAAAGAAAGGGAAAATGTGGTACCTGCGTTTGCAAAGCAGAAGGGCCCCTCGACCAGTAGCTTGTCTATTGGGCCTTCCTGTTACTAAAACAGAGCTATTTCTTAAACCCTATTCCAATCCTAAAACTGCCCCTGCTCCCTATCGTCCTGAGGCCATTTCTCTGAGCCTGTGTCTCCTGTGTGTGCCCCAGTGGTTCTGTGATGGTCCCTTGCTGGGCTCCTCTCCCTCTCCCTGAGTAACCGTCAGGTCTCCCTAAGTCCTAGACATGTCTCTCTGCACCCTGTCTTCTCTCGGTTGCCCCGTCCATGACTCTTAGCAGCATTGTTACTGTGAGTTTTCGATATGTCCCTGTCAGCTCACCCCTTTTGGTCTTCCAGTCCAAAGTGGGACAGCCCTCCCCCAGCTGTGCCACTGGAGCCCTCTCCAGAGGTGGACAGGCAGAAGAAAAGGGGGTGGTTGGCTCTCCCTGGTACATGGGGGGGATATGACATGGACTGGGGGAAGTCGCCTCTGTGTGGTTATGTTTCCCTCAATTTGTCCTGGCTCAGAATTCAAAGCACTGTAGAGTACCCTGGAAGCCCATCCCTAGATGAGGCACTGCCTACGTAGACTCAGAGCTGCTTTCTGTGGGCATGTGGGAATCTAGTGGTGGCAGACCCCTCCGCCCCCCTTGGGCTTATCCAGGGCTAGTTGTACGTGGAGCGCATGCATCTATGGTGACATCTTAGAATATTTCACATGGATTTGGTTGGTGACCTGAGATTATCACCTGCAAACCTAGGAGCAGTATTGGGCACATATTTAATCATGGACTGTTCCACAGAGGTAGGCAGACCAATCCCAGGGGCTTTGGGCATTTTTGAGGAGGAAACCCAACACCCAAAACCCAAAGGCCACCATATGATGATATCCAAATGTCACCACCTTTGCAGTAAGGAACAGAGGAAGAAGGAACAGCCCACTCACCCCCAGAGCTGCCCGCCATCGCCAGGGAACATGTGCATTCCTTTTTTAAGCCGCACGCCCAATGCCTGGGTCTGCTCTTGTTCAGTTTCCATGCTGAAAAAAGGACTTAATTCATTTGTAGACTTTGTTTCCCTTGTTTCTGCTTTTCCATTTCTTGTATTTTTTTTCTTTTCCTCCTGTTGTTCCTTTCTCACTTCTTATGCTTTTTGTCCTCTGCTTGTTTTTTATTTCACCTTCTCCCTGTCCCTCTCCAATTCCAAACTCCTCTTCCTCCTCCTTTTCCTCCTCTTCCTTTTTGTCTTTCTTCGTCTCCTCCTCCTCCTTTTCCTTGTTTGGTCCTTTTTGAAGTTGAGCCCAGTGGCGGGACTCCACGGCGTAGACCTCTCTCCTTCTGCCCTTGCTGTGTCCAGGAAGGTAACGTAACTCCCCCAACCTCATCCCCACTGCCTCTCAGGGGTCGTAGCAACACTAGTCAAACAGGGACCCAAAACCCAGCTATTTCTCTTTTTCTCTGACACTCAATAGCCTTGTTACAAAATTCCATGAGTATGTGGCAGTTTCTTACAAGGTACAGTATCCCTTTGACTATCTTGGGGAGGACTGGGGTACAGAGGGAAACCAGAGAGCCTCCAGGTACAGGCCTTTCAGGCTACAGCTGAGCATCCCATGACATTGTGCCACCATTCATGGTGGGACTTTCCAGACTCAAATCGAGCAGATAGAGGGGACACATGGGTGAGGAACCTCCTACCTGTGTGGCAGAGATTTATATTGGTGGAGTCGAGGAATACTGTCCTTACAAAGACTGGTCTACACAATGCCCCCAAGTTCTTTTCCAAAAAAAACAAAACAAAAGCCACTAAATGCAAACTTCTCTACCCTGTGTCTTGCTGAGTGTGTGTATTTTTTTTTAAGTTTGTCTGATTTGAAGTCTGTTGTGGTGATAAGATTGTTGTTGAAAAGGCATGTGGGAAGGGGAAAGGGGAGTGTGGTCATGACTAACCCTTGCTAACCTCTTACCTCTGCTCTTCATGGTGCTCACATTTGACTTTCACCCACCCCGCCATATACCTTTGCTCATCGGCTGTGAACAGTCTCTACCATAGCTCATGAGCGGTGTTCAGATATATCCCAGTGGAATTTTTGTCCTTGCTCATGGAGAGGCGGGAAGGAGGGAGAGACTTCCCAGTGCATTCCCAGCTTGCTGCACTGGACAGCTTGCATGCCTCAGGGCTCCATCTTCCATGCCATGTGGGCACACTGTGCAGAGATGCTCAGAAAGGAATGCATGGAACTGAGCTGTGGGCTGCCCTAAAAGCCAAAGGACCAAGTCTATTGGGTCGGGTAAGGAGAGCTTTCATCCCCAGACACTCCAGCCCTCCACAGAGGCAGGCTCGGCTGGTCAGGAGGGAGTTTCTGTCTTGCAGAGTAGGACTCAGGGATAGGCCTCCACCTTGGGAGCACAGCTGCACGTGCACCCAGGCACCATGCATACGCTAACCCCCGCTTGTGTGAGTGCTATTCGTTTCTGCCTCTCCAGAGCGTGGCCCCCGTTGAAAGACTAACTGGCTTGGGCCTCCTGCGTGTCAAGCAAACAACGCAGCAGAGAGTTGTCTTTGAACAGTGTGCAAGGAAGTCAGGTGGGAAGAATGTAGGAAACAGTGAGTAAGGAGCTTGACAAAGGAGCGCATTGTCTCACCTGAGGGTATATTCCATATGTTTCTGGGTCTGGTCTTTACCGGGATAGGACATCCAGCCAAGTGAGTCATAAAATGGAAGGCACTTTGAAAGATCTCCCAGTCCAATGCCTCTTAACCTGGGGCCCACGGGTGAACTTCAGGGGGCCCAGGAACACCCTGAAGTTCTATATAAAATTGTTGGATGTGTAGACATGTATTTTTCTAGGAAGAGAGTCCCTAGGTTTCCTGAGATTCTCAGAACGGTTTGGAATCCAGAAATATTGAAGACCACTGACAGAGTCTGTCTTTTGCTTTAGGCAGGACCTTACTATTGCCATGAGCTTCTTTGTGCTCCAAGGGAAAAGAGTTTGTTCTCTCCTTGGGTGGTCTGATTGCTTGGAAAGTTCTTCCTTCTGTTCTCCTGCCACAGTTAAGCTCAGCAGGGTCAAGCTTTCCTGGATAGAGATTTAGTTATCAGCCCCAGAAACTGCTGCTGGGGTTAGGTCAGAGCAGAGGGCACTGCCTTATTTAATAGTGCCTAGGGTCTGCTGGTGTTCTCTCTGCCCTTGGTGAGGAGCCTGACAGCCGTCCTGGGAGGTACTGTGTGTACCAGGCAGGATTCGTTGGGAGAGTGTTTGTCAGGAAGCCTGATAAGGCCACAGTTTGAGAACAGCCATCTCCCTGACCAGGAGCTGAAGAGATGGGGACGCATCAGTACAGTGGCCCAGACGGGGGCAGCAGCCCAGGAAAGAGATGGGCCAGTGAGGGTAACTTCAAAGGGGGTAAGTGCAGCTTATAAATTTGCATTTGCCTGGTTCACGAGACTGGTTTTCTAAAAGCAGACCTAGTACGTAGCAAGTACCAAATAGATATGAAATGAGTGAAAAAAAGGGAAAAAGGAGGGCAAAGCACTTCAGACCTACCAAGAGCAATCCATTGAGCAGGAGGGGTCCAAACAGGCTGTGACCAGGTTACCGAGGGGGTGCAGGTTGGGCCTGGGAAGGACAGGTGGAGAGCGCAGACTCTGTTAGGCTCTGGGGCATGGTGCCCCCTTCCATGGCTGTAGGCAAACTTTGGACCTGGCTTGGGAGTGTTCCGGCAGCATCCTGCTCGGCTCTCTTTGCACATTTGCCCCTGTGTGAGACTCCTGCCGGCCGGGGTAGACAGCAGACACTTTGCTGTGCCTGACGCACCCTCTCTCTTGGCAGGCATGGGGAAGAAAGATGACCCCAAGCTGATGCAGGAGTGGTTCAAGTTGGTGCAAGAGAAAAATGCCATGGTGCGCTACGAGTCGGAGCTGATGATTTTGTGAGTGGCCTTTGGTTGGGGACCCAGCTAAGGGGGGCCGTCAGCTCAGTACCTATCACAGCAGGAGCACAGCTGCTTCCTAATTTAGGGGATGAGGAAATATGGCCCCCCGAGTCACCATGCTTGTCTCCCTCTCTCCTCCCCCCGCCCCCAATCCCAGTGCCCGGGAGCTGGAACTGGAAGACCGGCAGAGCCGACTACAGCAGGAACTTCGGGAGCGGATGGCAGTGGAAGGTAAGGGGGGAACAGGGCTGGAGGGCACCCGGGAAAGCTGGGTGTGGGCCTGCTGCCTCCTGGCCCTATAGACCTAATGTCTTTGGCCACTGCCCAGATCACCTGAAAACTGAGGAGGAGTTGTCAGAGGAGAAGAAGATCTTGAACGAGATGCTGGAGGTGGTGGAGCAGAGAGACGCCCTCGTGGCCCTGCTTGAGGAACAGCGACTCCGGGAAAAAGAAGAAGACAAGGACCTGGAGGCTGTCATGCTATCCAAGGGCTTCAGCCTGAACTGGTCCTGAGCTCTACCTGTGCTCCGGCTGGCTGGTCTGTGGCATCCACCTGACCCAGGCTGGGTTCTCCCAAACCACCCGGATGAAAGATCTCAGAAGGCCCGGCACCTCCTGGGAGTTGACACGCAAATGTCTATGTGCCTCTTGAAAAGTGGGTCAAGTGTCTGTGCTCTGGGGAACCCCAGGTGAAGATGATTATCTGAGGTGGCTCAGCCTCCTTGGAAGAGGCCCACCCTGACTTCCTGCTCCAGAGAGAGGAATACGGAGCATTTGACATGTGATATGGGAAAAAAGAAAACCCGCTCGCTCCCCAAGGACACGTGGTGGCTGGAGCTCCTCCTTCCACAAGAGGAGACAAGAGAAGGAAGCTGCCCCCTCTCCGTCAAAACCACAACCACCAGAGTGCACCTTCATGGAGCGGAAGGGACAGCGATCTTCTTCATGCTTCCTGAAGCACCACCAAAGAAACGAAGAAGACACCCCGGCGGGGGCAAGATGTGACTCAAGCCCTGGGAGGGGGGCAGTGGCCAGCAGGTCAGCGCCTGCCCCAGTATCGCAGGGGAAGCTGGAGATGGGCTGGCTCCCGAATTCATGATGCAAGTAAGGAGGACCCAGGAGGGGTCTGCTCCCTGGCCCCCTGCACCGCACACTGGACCCCTTGTGGCCAAATGCCCCAGGCCTCCCTCTGGCTGTGACCCGAGGCCTGAGGATTGCTGCATTCTGCTTTGAATTCACAACAATTTTGACACTGGAAATACTGACTTTGGGGGACAGGATGAGGCCCTACATTTCTAGCCCCCAGTTGACAGACAGGCGTTGTTACTGTTCAGCGCTTCACGTTGGGGTGGGAGATTATCTTTTTCCCTGACCTTTTTCCTGTGTTTGCACATTGAGATGAAGCTGTCAGCCTAGCAAGACGCTCAGCCGCTTCGGACCCTTTTTGTCAGTTAACTTATTTTTTTAATACTTGAAGAGAAGTAACTTCATTTTTATATCTTTACTAGAGACACTGATCACTTGGCACCCGATGTAGGAGTGACAGGGGTATCTGCCGTGTCCTCCTACACGGTCCTATCCCGAACTGACTGAACGCTGTTCCAGCCATCTATTTATTAGCCTTCTTCAGAGTGTTGCTGACCCAGTTGGCATCAGGGAGCAGCTGAGAACCCCACGTGGGTTCTTGGTCCTAGCTCTCCTGTCCCCTCCTGTATTTGGCATCTGGCCCCTCCTCCTTGACCCGGCCCACCCTCACTGTGGTACCAAACTTTGTGTCTGCACCATTCATTTGTCAGGGGTACATTTCAGCACTGTTTGAGGCCAGGCCAAAGGGCACAGATGCCACTTGCCTCTCCCTGTTGAACCCTGGCTCTGCAGAACCCATTTATTTTCTCCATTTTGGTGCCAGGGTTTCACCTCCCCATAGCACATTTATTATTAAAGGTAAGCCCTTTTCCAGGCTGGCATTGTAGGCTGGGACCTTGTAATCCCTCTGGCTGATGAGAATTCTCTCAGCCCAGCCTCAGATCCAACCCGATAGAGATGCAAGTGTTGGAATTTAGGTTGGTCTCTCACAGTTAACTCTACTCCGAACCTCCTCTGCACCTCGATCTTCATGGGAAGGCACGGGATAATGAGCACCATGTAACTGGCTCCTTGAGCCAAACTGCTCATTTGTCACAGTTCAACTAGAGACTGGCATTGTACAGCTCATAGAGCCACAGTCGGAGAAAATGTGGTGGGGAATCCACAGAACTGACACACGGTCAGCGCAGGGAGGATTCCTGTCTGAGCAAGGCCAATCCGGAAGGGCCCTCCGGCAGACTCCTGGTGGACAGGGGCCAGGGTAGGGCGAGCAGAGGCCTGGCAGCTCCTCAGAGTAGCCTAGATCAGGTGTCCGTGCCGACCTTGGGACTTCTGTGGGGAGCCCCGCCATGCCTCAGCTTGAACCTTCATTCCTAGTACAAAGGAACAGGGAATGTGTCTTGCTCTTCACTTTGTCCATGAGCTGCCATCTGTCTCCTGTGGAAGCACAGGAGGTGTGCTGCTAACAACCGTCGCAGCTCCGACTCCTTCACTTCCTGTTCTCTGATGAGGCGGAATGTCCGTGTTTATGCGCTTTCTTAAAAAGGCGAGAGGAGGGTGTTCTGGATTCCCTCTTTAAACCTCACCCTTCCAGTAAAATTGGACTTGAGACAGGCCCCTCATCGCCTGTGTGGCCTTGTCCCTGACCCTCTTCGTCCCTCGAATGCCGCCGTAGCCAGCCCAGCCCCAGGAGAGCCGCCTCCATCCCTCCTGGCTCCTGCAAACCCTGGAGCAAGGCAGCGCTGTGCCAAGTGGTGGGCTCGGGACGTGACCGTAGCGACACGCTGTGAGTAGCCTCATGTAGCGCGGGCGCCACACGGGACCTGTGCCCTCGCGACCGGCCGGCCCGGTCAGCCTTTAACACCCCTGCGTCCTTCCGAAGCACACACTGCGGGCTGCGGTTGCTAGAAAGGGGACTGAAGACTTTGCAGAGAAGGTTCCAAAATCCACAAGCCTCCAACACGTGCCCCGGTTCTCCACTCCCGACGCTGTTAGGACTTGCGGCTCTAGTAGTGCCCCTTTCTTTTAAAGCTCCCGTTTTATAACCACTAGTTTGCAGTTTATGTTAGTACCCTGGTGACAGGCTGCATGAAATGTTTTCCAACTCTGGAAATGCATGCAGCTCCAGGCAACTGTTCTTCCCAAGATTTAAGTCCCCTTGAAGGCAGGGACACAGGAAATGAAATGCCAGAGCTTGAGTGAGCCCAAACACAAGGCCCACAGAGTGGGCAACCAGTTCCGCATCACCAGAGGGAGGCAGCAGACACCTCCACTCCTGAGTCTGAGGGACTCCTTGTGGGGTTCTCACCCTGCTCGGGTGATATCTTTGGGCCTTTGCCCCCAGAAACCATCCTCCAGTTGCTTTTGACCAGCAATGATAGACTATTCTTTATCCTCTGAAAAGAGAAGAAAGTTTTCAGTGGGGCAGGAGGTAGAATTCAAAGAAAAACAGTTGTAAGGTGGTAATAACTGAGCTGCAAAGGGGAATGGGCCACTTTATGCGCAATAAAAGTTTTTCACAGAAATACAGAGTGTATTTCTTAAGTCATTTTACCAAACTTGGCAGCGAGCCAGGATGCATTTCCATGTTCCAGCACCTGCCCTTTTCAGGTATGTGGTGTCCATGCAAGTCATTTAGATGCCTGGCGCATGTGTGGGTGTGTGTCCAAGCTTGTTTAAAGAACACAACTTCATCTTACCCAGGCTCAGCCATCAACTGCTGTCATTTGAGAAAATGCCTGAAACAACTTAGTGTGATAGACGCTGTTCTTCAAAACCAGGCCCCAGTACCGTCTTGAAGAGAGGAAGCACGTTCTGTGAAGTGAGATTCTTCAAGTTGGAGTGGTCCCGTGCTCCTGGCAGCCTTCCTTGCCAGCCCTGCATCCGTGCCAGCCTGGCCTCTGTCCTTTGACACAGCTGCCCAGGGAGCCCAGTGGTGTGGGGTCTGCAGCCTCCAGGCCTAAATCGTTCAGATGTGTCAGTGTCCACAAGTACATTCAGCATAGGGTCTTGGAGAGATGATATCACCCTTCTTTGGACTGGAATCATCCCCAAGAGATTGAAGGGAACAATCCTGGCCAACTCTTCTCTCTGCTACAGGAAGCCTCTTGGGTTTGTCTCCAAATGGAGACACATTCCAGCTCTTTTCCCCTCCCTTGGTGTGATGACTTTGTCATCACCCACAGAGCTAACCCCAAAGGCACATGTCTCCCTCCGGCCCAGTAACGGCTGCAGGGAGAGAAAAAATGGCACTAGATGGGTGGAGGGGAGTGTTGGCCAGCCTAGAAGTCACTGCCATGGAAGCTGGTTCCAGAGCCTTTCAGCCTTATTGCCCGCTATCCCAGAAAGAAGAAAGGGGCCTCTCTGACACAGACGTGGACATCTCAGGCAGAAAAAATATAACTAGCTCAAGTGAACTTTCTGTGGCCATGGTGCGTGCCTGTTGGGGAAGACTGGAGTTCGGTAGTCACCACCTGTGCCGATCTCAGTCACCTTTTGTTCCTCAGAGGGGCTGGCTTCGATTAGAGCCGGAAGCAGGCAGGATTTGACCGCAGTTCCAGCAGCCCCAGGTAGCCAGAAATGATGATTGCTGTTTTTAGGCAGGTAACCAGAAAGGAAGACTGCCCAAGCCCCCACGTAAGTGCCACCTCAGAAGCACACACCCTCATTCCTTCCAAGAAACTACCATGTCTTATGGCTCTGAAATCCCTCCTGAACCCTGAGTCTTCCTGGAATCAGAGTGAAAAATGGCAAACGGAGAGAATGTGCCATTTTAGGAATCAGAGTGAAAAATGGCAAATGGAGAGAATGTGCCATTTTATTTTATGAGCTGGCCAGACTGGCCCACTTATGGAGATTCTCCCTCCTCTTGTGTTACCGGCTCGGAAGATCCCCTCCCAGCAATGCTCAGTGAAGAGGGTAAGAAGCCATCCTCTTAGGTGGGTTATGCCCCACTGAGGTATCAGCCCAGGGGCCAGAGCTGCACCACGTACGCTAAACCAAGGAGCCTGTTAGGCCAGGTGCCCAGGGTCACAAAGGCCTTTCACGGACACTCCCAGATGGACCACCTGTCGCTGCTGAACTTGACCACGTAGCATTTTGTGACAGCCCCACTCCTTGTGTCCCCTGCCCTGAGGTCTTCCTGCAGGTGGGGCTTAAACAGGGAAGCCAGAGTCCTGGCTTCTGTGGATAGGCCATGTATGCTGGCTGCCTCTGCCTGAGAAGGCAGCTGATACCAAGACAAATATGGAAGAGGCGACAACGTCCATGATGCACACTCGTGCGTGTGCGCATACACATAAGCATCTTCCTTTTCATGGTCAGCATGACCTTTCTCCAGAGTGGACATCTAGCTGTAAAGTAGGCTGAATTTAAGCCTTTGGACCCAGGAGGGACCAGCTATGGTGGTGGTCCAGGCTCCCGGCTAAGGCAGGATCCAAGTTGAGGATCTTGTAACAACAAACAGCCTGGTGCGTGGAAGACCACAATTGTATGGAACAGTCTCCAAAGTAGGCAGATGGAGCAGTCCTCCAGATCCAGGGGAAGGGTCGTTTGGAGTGCCCAGTGCAGGTGTGGGGCTGCCTCACACAACCTGTGAAATGAGAAGGAGGTTGCTGGTGTCTGTGGCCACAAGTGAGAGAGCGGTAAGGAAAGGGAGTTAGCATTCAGACATGAGACTCGCTCCTGCCTCTTCCCTGACTTCAGAGGAAGCTGAGGCTTAGCATGTAACTGGTCGGTGCCTCCCTCCCTGTTAACCAACCCACAGGATCCATGGGAGGGCAAAACATTGAAGGGTTTGAGATTCTTGAATCGGGGCCTTTGTAGATGGACAGACATCTTTCATGACGGTAACTAATGTTGCCCTTGAAGAAACCAGAGGAGGACTGAAGGCGGTCCCAGCACCTCTAGGGGCTGACTCCTTACTACCCAAGTTCATCTCCGATCTATCTAGTGAGCCAATGGAGTTGTGCATTTATTTTTAATTACTTAAAATGCTGGGCTGAATCTTCTGTTTCCTCTCAACTTAATCCAGGTTGCTGTAGACAGGCAGTGTTCGCAGAACCTTCAGATGGGCCGCTGCTGGGTGTGTGCCTGAGGCTGGACCATGCTGAGCTCGAGTCAGCACTCAGTGCCTTACTGGGAACAAACCAGCACTCTCAGCTCAAGGGGACGCCCCAGCCTTTTCCCTCCTGCCCCCTTCTACAGCCCACAGCCACCGGCCACCTCCACCTTCATCTTAAGGCAGCTCTGCCAAACCTGCTCTCCCTGTGGTGGCTCCAGGGGACATGCCGTGGGTCCCTGGTCCTCCAGAGTCATGATCAAGGATAAGGGATTCATCCAAGTGAAGGCTAGGGTATGTTAGTGTTACGATGCTGATCAAGAGCCAAAACAAGGGTTCACTCACATACACCAGAGGCAACTGGCACAGCAAGCAACAGGAAAAAATGAGTGTTTCTTGGTAGAAAGGCCCAGATGAATACCCAAGGTTTGGCACTGTGGCCTTCAGGTTGTCTCCCCAAGAGCTTGAATGCCAGGTCTTTCCTGTGGAGAAAAACACAAGAAGCACCTGACAGCCAACAGCCCCCTTTCCCCAGCTGCATTTATTTAACGCTTTTTAAAAATGTTTTTAAAGAATTAAGTACCATTTTTAAAATGTAACCAGGGCCAGACTTACTTGGTACCAGCCTTCATATTGGGACAGAATCCTGTTTCTGGCCCTAGTAATTAATGTTGTAAGTCTTCATCACATTGTTATTAAAGTCACCTGTAAAAATCTGGGTGGGGAGGCAGGAGGGTCAGGTGGGGAGGGTCGTGCCTGAGGCTGGAAGATGCTGGCCTTGGGTCAGCACTTGGTGCCTTATACCAGTTTGGGAACAAACCAGCACTCAACTTGGCGGGGCACCCTCTTCTTTTCCCTGCTGCCTCATCTACAGCCCAGGGGATCAGAGTTGGTAGAGCTTTACCTCCTGAGGGGTGGTGACCCCAGAGTGAGTGTCTCTTCTGAGTGAATCACCCCACCATGGCCTTGGCCCCTGTTCCTGGAAGATGCAGAGAGCAGCCCCAGGACCCTGCCAAGTTTTCCTATGGGAAGATATTTGGAAGAAGCATCAAGAAAAGACAAGTCTTCTGCAACGCTGTGCCTGAGGAGCGTGGGGAGCGGGGATGCCCGCTGTGTTGACTGCAGGGGTTGATGTGGACATGTACACTAAGTTCATGCCTGTGTGTGTGAGGAGCCCTGCCCACCCTGTTCCTGAAGTTTAGAGTCTTTAATGGGAAGGGACGAGGGAAACAAATAGTAACTTTTATTCGGTTTGGTGTAGCCGAGTGCACATTTATCCTCCAGCTGTTTGCACTCCTATGGCCGACAACCAAAATAAAGTCCGTCATTTTTTTTTCTTCTGTGTGGAAGAGGATCATTTCTTCCCCCCTTCAGGTGCCAGGACCCCCTGCCCACCCAGCCTGGCCTCCGGCAGGGCTAGTATCCACCGGGGAGGGTGAGCTGTGTTGCTGCTGGTTACTCGTGGCTCCTTCCACTCGTCCTACCTGCCCCCCACAACTTTGTTTGGATTGAAAAAAACCCAGCTAGGGGAGTATCCCTGCCTCTCCCTTGATCTTACTATGTATCTTGAAAGAAAAGAGCAAACAGAAAAATTGTCTTTCTGCCCAAACTAAGGACCCCCCCGCCCCCAGCATCTCCTGCTTTTTCATCTCTGGGTGAGCATGGGAAGTTTCCCTGCAGCACAGTGGGGGGGGGGGGCAATGGAGGAAACGGCACCTCTGCTGTTGGAGAAGGTAGGATGGGAGGGGTCTTAAGGGCAATAAAAAGAAGACATGGACTGAAAACCTGAAAACCTAGCTACGTGATCAGGGATGAAAAACTAGGAACCCGATGATTCAAGTCAGGACTGTGGTAAGGAGAGGGGCATCGATGGGTTGACCCTGGAGGAGGCCTTAATCAGCAGAATGGATCAGGTGGCACTGAATAGAGGGGAGGGGGCGGGCCTGCTGGCCTCTCCACAGTGGGCATCCTTGCAGCCTGGCCCCTTTGCCCACCCAGCCTGGGGAGTATGTCCATTCTGCTCCTACCTAGTCAAGAGTTGGAGACCAGGGGCGCCTGGTTGGCTCAGTCAGTGGAGCGTGCAATTCTTGATCCCAAGGTTGTAAATTCAAGCCCCACATTGGGTGTAGGGAATACTTAAAAGCTTAAAAAAAAAAAAGTTGAAGCCGGTGAAGAACTTTGTGCATAAAGCAAGTGGAAGCAACAGAACCATGTCTGCCCCCTCACGCCTCCTACCCCAAACTCCATACTTCCTTCTCCCTGGAGAGGAATTCCCCAAGGACCCCAGGGGAGAACAGAGACACAGCCACTCTCTGTGGATCGGGCCATGATAGCAGGAGCTAGGGACAGCTGCCTGCTCCTGTCCAGGGGGCTGGTGGCTGAGAAGGATGCTGACAAGCCCTCCTCCAGCTGAGGTGGGGCTGTGCCCCTGGCCCTGGCAACTGAGGAGTGCTTAAACATCAACAGATGTGTTTAGGCCTTCATGTGCCTAGGAACTGACCTTGGCTTTGAGAGCCAAGCACGGAGTTCAGCCGGGGACAGGGGCCACTGCGGTTTTCACCTCGCAGCGAACAGTGTCTGCAGTGCCCCCTCTGGGCAGCTCTATGGATCTGCTTGGTCCCATGGATTTGGAGAGGTCCGCTGTTGAAAACATTGCCCATCCTTTTTTCCCTCCAAGCCAACAGAGTGGTCTCCCCTGCCCCCCTTTTCCCTTACGCTCCTCTAAAGATGATCCCGAGTCTTATCCCCTTTTCTCCCCCACCTCCAACCAGGAGAAAGTTCTTGATTGGAGGCCACTTGGCTGCGTGAAACAAGCACCGGACCAGGAGTTGGTTCTGGCGTCTGGCCCACAGCGTGGCCACTACCTGGCTGGCTGATCTTGGACGTGGCTCCCAAACCTGTTTTCTACCCTTGAAACGAGAAAGTCACCTTCACTCTCTGCCCCGTAAAGTGGTTGTGGGGCTGCAAAGAGATCAGAGATGCTGAGTGCTCTGCGTTTTGTGGGCCCTATGCCTGTCCCTCTGTGGCTGCTGAGTCATAGTGGCCGGCCACCGGGGCCACACGGAGGCGCTCCCCTCAAGGTGGAACCCGGGCCACTGCCCACAAGCAGATGTGCTCTCATCCCAGGAGGCGGGGGAGCTGCTCCTGCGCTAGCTCCTGTGACAGAAACCGGCAGCAGCTGCTCAAAGTCTGCTCTCCGGGAAATGAGTGACGCCTGAAGCCCAGGGCGGTGTTGGCAAGAAAGGAAGTCACGGAGTTGGGTTGGTTGCGGGGAAAGCCAGCATAGGAATAAAGAACCAGAAACTTCATGTAATGTGAGGCAGGTGTCTCCTTGCCTTCATGATTCCAACCCAGGCTCCAGCTCTGGTGTGCATGGATCCATCGCAATGAGAGTCACAGCCCTACCCCCAAGGAACACAAAATTCCACATACAGCACTCACTCGCTCTGCCACATGGCATTCTTAACCTGTGCGTCTTTAAGCAGAATTCTGGACACTGATCTTCCCTCTTCCTCAACATCCCTACCTCTGACAAACCTCCACGTAAAACGTTCAAGCCAGTCATGGCCAGGCCCCTACTCCACTCCGGGGCCCCCACGCCCTCCCCTTGGCTTGGTGTGATTCAGCCATCATCCAGTGAGCTAGCTTCAGGAAGGGCAGCCACAAGGCAAAGGAGAGCGTGGGGAGCACGTGACCTGGCCCGCCCTGGCAGTTAACCGATGGAGGACCCAGCTCTTTGGCAGAGTCAGCCCACCTCCTCCAGGAAACTCCTGTCTGCCTCTTCCCCTGAAGCCCCTTCTGACCAGAGCCAGACTCTGGAAGGGGACATTTCTGGGTTTTCTAGACCCTTGGGCCTAGGGAGTCAACCCCCTGCAAGTCGCTCTGCTATGATTCCCTGAATGGGAGCCTCAGTGGCAGCTTTTGGTTGTTGACTCGATAGAAAGGTCCAGGGGAAAGGCTGCTAAGGTAATACTGGAAATCCCAGACTGGTTGTTTAGCCCAGTGCAGGCACCGAGTCGAAGCTGGGTCAGAGCCAGCCACTCACAGCTTCCCCCAGGCCATACTGCCAACACATACCATGTGGGGCTGAAATAAAAAACAAAGCGCCCGACGTTTTCCAGTGCTGACAGCTCACCTGTACACGATCATGGGTATGAACACGAAATTTGCGCCACAGGCCCCGGTCCTGGAGGTAGCCATTTCCCCTCTCCTCCTGCAGGAGCTGTTTGGCGTTCCTCCCTCTAGAGCCTCCAGCCTTCCAAGCCTGCATGTCCTTCAAGGCTCAGAGCCTAGACTCTGTGTTGGTGGGAAAGCACTTGGACGCTTTCCTTCCCAGGCACCTGTCGACAGCTCCTGCCCTCGTATACACACGTCCAGGGACAGGGGAGTCGTGCCTCCATGTAAACCACTGCTCCCTGGCGCCTGGTACTTTCCTTCCGCTCCCCCTACCGGGCCTCCCACGTTGGCCTGTCTTACAGCCCTTAACCCCGCTGTCTGTTCCTGCGTGTCAGCCCAGGGTCCACCAGGGATGGTAAGCCCCTGGCTTGACCCACGGTAGATCCTGAGTCGGGCACAGAGCAAAAGCTCTGAGCTACTTACTCACTTGGGTCTGGAAATAATAAGCCGTCATGTTCTTCTCCCCTCCGTTAGTCTGCCTGTTGGTTTAGAAAGCCTTGGAAGGCTCACGTGCCCCCAGCCTCCACCCCTATCAGAGAGTGGGGAGTTATGGACAACTAGCTGTGTACGTGGTACTCTGTGCGGTGCTGGGGCCCCGCTCCCCTCCCACCCGAGGTCACACCTTCACCTCGTGTTCACCACTCCAGACCTCCGTTGTCAGATTCTATTCCTGAGGTGAGGGCGATGGGGGTGTCTAGATGGAAGGAGCCTTGACTTCCCAGCTTTGGAGTCAGCTGGGTGCATCACAGCTGTGGGCTTTCATGAGCACTGGGAAGAGGGAAGGAAGTGGCATTTGTGGGCTTGCGGAAACTCTGACCCTAAGACTGGCACCTCTGCAGAGGCGGGGCCTGGGGGTGCTTGTGGGAAGTGGGCACCAGAAGGTAGAGCATGAGCCCATCTGCCACCCAGAGCCCCCACCCCATGAGGACTTGTCTCTGGGGGAAGTCAGAGGTTTTTGCCCCCTGCAGTTGGAGGAAACAAGATGCCATCAAAGCAGGCACAAGAAAGGACTTGTCCACGTGCGATATGCCAGGCACCAGGGACCAAATGCAACAAGGCGGCCACAGGCACGTGCTCTCAGAGCTCAGTTGACAAGGCCCAGGGCACTGGCCTGCCACCCTCCTTGATCCCTTCAGTTTCCCAGGGCCAGGCACCTGAGGTCTATTGAGAGCCGAGAGGCACTACTGGGCACCAACCCTGCCAGGAAATGAGGGAAATGAGAAACACCTGGAGAAGAAGTTCATTATCAAGTCCAGGTGTGTGCAGTGCAAGCCACTGAGGGACCAACCGCTAGGGAGGGGCTGTGGAGGCAGCTCGGAAGGTGACAAGGGAAGGAAGGGGATGGGGGTGCAAGCAGCCAGTCCCTCTCCTCTCCTTCCTTCCTCTTAGTGCCCCTTCAGAAACCCCAGCAATTGAGGTCCTACTCCCTGAACCACCTCCCTGCACCCCGGCCTCTGACTCCCAGTCGGGCGCCCGCAACTGCACAGAGATGCTGGGGGCGCCTCTGCAGGGAGGCCAAGTAATAACTGCAAAGGCTGCCATTTGCTGAGAACTTACTACTGTGCCAGACACCATGCCTGAGACGCTTCTGTATTTCATTTATTTAAAATGCAACTTTGAAATATGTACTATCATTTTCTTTTATGGATAGGAAATGGGAAATCAAGAAACTTGTTCTGGGCCCTCAGCTTTCTTGGAGGTAGCTGCTGGCCTCCTTGTTTGCAAGTCCAGGAATGCCAACGACTTCACGCCAGGTCTCTATGTGTTCTGAGTACTTGCCTTGCTCATTCTGACTTTATGCCTAATACATAGCTCTTCCCCTTCCTTTCCATTTGATAGTCAATGATGAGAGCACAAATATGGTACCAGTCACTGTATTTAGAGGCATTATTATCCCAATTTTATCAATGAGCCTCAGAGCAATTAGGTATCATGCTAGGGCCCCAGAGCTGGTAAGGAACAGAGCTGAAGAAACAAACTGCAAAGGCTGAGCTCTTAACCACTATGCAACCGGCCTGCCAACCTCCCTCTGACCCTCCCTGGGCAGCCTGCCCAGACCCCTCCAGTCCACATGCCCCCTCTACCATCGAAATGCCCTAACGCCTCTGGTCTGAGCCACATGCTGACTCTTCAGTGCATCCGTGGGTCTTGCAGAGTTCA